CACTCAACTCTTCCCACAACTCATTTCTCTCCCTATAACCAATACCATATATGTTAGTTAGTACCCATTTCAAATCCATCATTTGCCTGTCGAAAATTGATAGAGAAGGTGAATTTACCCATCAATTCTTCAATTCCCTCCAACATATCCTCCCTCCAAAGAGTCACTATACCCCTCGAAGAACCCCAAGGACACATTGCCCAACTTAAACCTCTGCTTCTACAGATACTTCTTGCCCACCTATTATTGAACTCCTCCAACTTTGATTCCTGAATGAGAACGATGTTCGGGTTCTCCTTCCTTAGCACTTCTTTAATGATGGCCCTCTTCCTAGAGTTCCCTAAACCGTGAACATTCCAAGTGATTATTTTCACCACTCTCATCTTGTACTTGTCCCTTACTTGCCTTACCCTATCTGCTTCCCCTTCTTCTATCCTTTCTTTCACTAAACTCCTTGTCCCCCTACGTCTTTTTTTAATCTCTCAACCACATTCATCTTCCTCTCTTTTTTTTTATCAATAACAGTGGATTTTATTAATGATTTGGAAAACCAGAATTACAAGGTAAGGAGCTAAAAAATCTAAACTCCCAAATACCCTATAAACCCCAAACCATGGAGCAATTACAAAACAGCCCAAAACATAGAGTTTTTGTTCACCCCTTTGCCTAGCTAGACCATCTGCTGGTGCATTAGCACTTCTCACTACTAAGGTTCAAAGTATCGATACAATACGAATTTCGGTCGTATCGTATCGGTACTTAGAAACGGCCGAAACTTTATTTTTTTTTTAGTTTTTTTTCACATTTTGACTTTTTGGAAAGCTTTTAACATGCTTTTTATTATTAAAAAATTTGGGGGTCCGAAACCCTAGAAACAGGCGTTTCGGACCATATCTTTTTCAAAAGATACGATACGATACACCCTGTATCGGGCGTATCGTATCGATACTTTGAACCATGCTCACTACCCATGTACAATGAATTTCAATATCCTTGGTGAGCCACTTGAACTTCCTCTTTTCATTGCTGTATTTCCAAAGCATAGAACTATCCTCTTTTAGCCAATTCACTACAATTTCAGAGTCACCTTCTATGATCAACTTTTTAAAGTTCATTTCCTTGGCCCTAACAGGTTCCCTTTTTCATCTCTTATCACTCCCCCCACTTCGGAGGGCCCTGGGTTACCCATGCTACTGCCATCAAAATTCAGTTTGGTGAACCCATGAGGTGGAGGTGTCCAGCAGGAATTTGAGGACTTCTTGATTGAGCCTAACTCTGCAATCTCCTTCCACTTTCTGGTCATCTCATCAACTGAGAACACTGCAAACAATTCCAAGGTTTTTAACCAGTGAATCACTCTAATGTGGATAGTCTCCAGGATTACTTCCACACTTCTCTCCTTATTTGAAAATACCCTTGAATTTCTCTCCTCCCAAATAGTCCAACACACTGCATCCCTACCACCTCTCCACATAATCTTGGCCCTTTTGGTTGACCAGTTAGGTATGGAAGTAAATAAGCTTTGCACATTCGAAGGGGGAGTCCACCTGCATCCAAACAAAGAAGTAAACCATTCCCAAATGACTTTAACAAACTGGCAAGAAATTAATAAGTGATATCCAAACTCACCATCAGATTTACAAAGGACACACCAGTGAGGAGACAAACAACTAATGGGTCATTTTCTTTGAAGTAGAACCCCTATATTAACTCTTTCCAGGAAGGCTTCCCAACAGAAGCACCCAACCTTTAGAGGTATAGGTCGACACCACACTTCTTTAATAGGAAAAGACAGTCCAACATGAGAAGGGGGTAAAAGGGCCTTGAAGAAAGAGGCACACTCATCTTCCTCTTCTTAGTTTTTCCTTCATCTTTCTTTTCCTTCAAGAAAGCTTTTAACTCATTGGGGTCTTTTATCTTGCAACCGAGCTTCTCAACAAAATCTGCCAATGAACTTTCTTGGCTATCATCAATGCCATTCCCATCAATATGTGTTTGCAGACCCTCTAGAATCTTGAATCCTCTCCTTTTCTATTTTCTTCTTTCTTAACTCCTCCAAGTACTCCATCAGTTCTCGTATTCTCAACCCCCTTTCCTCTTCCTCTCTCTCACAATCACCCTTGACACCTTCCACACCTCCAGGGTTGGTTATCGGCTTAGCAGAATGTTGGAGGCTTGAGACAAGATTGGCAGACAAAGGAAGAGAGTCAACACAAAAACCTGAACTTACAAACATACCTAGGAGGGACCGACAATGGGGGCCTAATATCCTTAGCCTAAATAGGAGCAACTTGAGACTGATCAGAACCAACTCTAGGTAAAATCACACCCTATTCAATGCTTCCTAGACTCTACAGCCTATCTCTAAGATGGGTTAGCTAAGCAAGGGGTGGCTTGGGATTCTTTATTTTGGGCAAAGTTGTAATTTCTTCTTTTTGCTTTTATGGGGGCTCCTGTCCAACCCGGGGAGTTAAGAAAGTTTATCTCCCCTCCCTTGTAATTAACTATGTTTATTATTAATGGAAAGTTACTGTTATTGATAAAAAAAAAACTCAGTCTGATCATACTCTCTTTGTGAAAAGGAGAGAAGCACTTGTGTTAGTACGGATTGTGTATGTGGATGATATAGTTGTTATAGGGAATGATTTGAGGGATATTGATGCACTCAAGAAGTCACTACGACAAGAGTTTGAGATCAAGGATCTAGGTGAACTAAAATATTTTATGGGGACTGATGTTGCAAGATCCAAGCATGGGATATTATGCGTTGGACTTACTGCAGGAAACTAGGAAGCTAGGAACTAAACCGGTTGATACTCCTATTGACCCAAACCATAGGATTTTCAAAGTTTGTTCACAACCCTATACATAAGTGCATTTTATTTATATAAAAAAACATAATTTTCTAATTATACATACATGTATATATATGTATAAAACATGTATATATACATTTGTGAATGAAGTATGTACATATTTCAATCAATTCTACTCCTAAGTTCAGCCTTAAGGTCCAATAAAAGAAAACTAAACAAAAGTATGTTCATAAATTCTTTAAAAAATAATCAATCCACCAAAGCCTAACTGAACCTAGCCTGATCGATTCAGGCTCAATCTACGCCCAAGTTGTGTTGGGTTAACCCAACTTGGGCTTGATAAACTCAAGTTGGGCCAGGCCCAAGCCTAAGGTTTGCACCTTTAGGATTTGGACACGGATTGACCCACAACCTGACCCAAAACCTAATGATGAGTGATAACGACCCTATGGGTACCCTCGATCAAAATCATCTTAACCCTTTTTCTATGATCTATTAGGTTATTCAACCTAGATTTTCCCCATTTTTTATATGGTTGGGTTTGGATGGGTTGTAACTTTTAAGTGGATGGATTGGGTGGGTCAAATGGGCTGTAAATTGCCACCCTACATGCAAGCACACCTAGTACCCAAAAAAAAAAAAAAAAAACGAAAACACACCTTAATAAAACAAAGTTTAGGCTAAAAAAATCGTTTACCAGGTAAAAAGAGCAAGAGATTTGAATACAAAATATCTGATGGTGATGGTAGAGGGTGACTCGATGTTGGTTATTGGCTGGTTGCAGAATGAAGAGATAGGATTCTAGAATTTTTAAATGAAAAAAAGAAATTTAGACAGCTAACTCAAGGCATGGAAATTAAGTTTCAATGGATTAAGAGAAGTGCAAACTTCTTTGCTGACTCACTTGCCAAACAAGGGATGGGAAGAGAAAGTCTTTTTTGGGCATTGTTGTAATATGAAAATCATTCTCTGGGAGGGTTAAGAGAGTTAACCCCTCCTTTCTATTGTACTTTATGCTATCATTAATAAAATTTTGTTAATTATCCAAAAAAAGAATCATTTACCCAATGAATCCAATAAGGCACAAATAGGAGAAATGCACAATCCTAGGCATAATTAAGGCAAGGTAATGTGGAGAAAACAAACATAGAAAATTTGTCGCCATGAACTTACATTCTATGAATGTCAAATGTAAAACAAATAGACAACAAAAATCACCTTGCAAATTCGTCCTCCATGTTAGACTTTCAAGTTGGGACCCAACAATAGGGGTGGAAAATGGGTGGGTTGAGTTGGGTGTGGGTTGACCCACCAACCCACTATGACCCATTATAAATCCCTGTTGGCATGTCACAACCCACCCTTACCCTCAACCACTGTCACCCACCCATATTGACCCACTTACAGGGGCAAAGCCAGAAATTTTGAGGGGGGGACCATTGGGGTGGAGAGGAAATGTGGAAAAATATAAATGGAGGGGTAATATATAAGTGGGGATATTTGGGCCATAGGGGAGTTCATGGTTCCCCTGGGTCCCTCTTGGCTTAACCCACTTACCCACCCATTGACCCTCACCAAGTATAAATGCTTGTTTCCTTCAATTTTTTTCTTTTTTTTTTTACATTTCTCTATCAAAGTTGCAACTATGTCAGGTCAGCCTTTGCTCTCATGACTACCATGTCTCAGATACGAGGCAGGTCAACCTATATACCCGAAAATCAATTTTAAGAGAACTGTTTTGTCCTCATAACTGCCACATGGCATATACGGGTCAAGTCAACCCGTATACTCAAAATTGTAGAAATGCAGAAAATTTGTACAAAATTTCAAACAAAAAGTTGCAGAAAATGTAGGAAAATTGCAGAAATTTTGCAAAAAAAAAAAGTGGAAAATGCAGAAATTGCATGAAATTTGCAAAAAATTGTAGAAAAAGCACGAAATTGCAAAAATTTTGCAGAAAAATGCATGAAATTGCATGCAACAACTATACTACTATGTACTCTACAACATGAATCAAAGTTGTAAGGTACTACCTTATTGAAGGGATATGCTATCAAATTTGGAGATAAACTTCTAAATCAATGTCTATACTATCCTTTTCTGCTTTATCTACATTTACAAAAACAAAAGTAAAAAACAAACTAATATGAAATAGAGTAAGAAAATTTAATGTGTAATATTTACCTTCAGACCCAAACAATCAACCCTGAGTGCATATAATACCTCGACCATTCTTGGCACAAGAGAGCTAAGGTATTAGTTCAATAGTCTTCGTCCCCCACTGTATGCTGCTTTAAAACCACAACCGGAACTGGAATGCTCAAGATATTACAAAACATTAGAGACAGCTCAGGTAATTTAAGAATCTAAGGCTGTGTTTGGTTGCATTGCAATTTTATTTGCACTAGTACAAATATATGGGAGTGCAAATGAAAAAAAATGCAAATTTTGGTTTAATTTTGTTTTGGATTTTACTTTATTTTACTGTCTCTTATTTTATTTCATTTTTATTGCAACCAAACAAAGTAAGGTAAGATTTGAAACAAAACTAAATCAAAATTTGTACCCAAATAATTTGCACTACCATAATTTTGCATCAGTGCAAATGTATTTGCACTGCAACCAAACACAGCCTAAAGGATTCTTGGTGTGGGACAATGTGTGGATCGATAAATGTAGCTAGTTAAGTCAAAGTCTAATAAAATATGGGAAGGGATGCTATTGCAAGTGTGAAAAAAAGCAAGTATACAGAAGAATTTTGAGTTCCAAGAGTCCTGTTGGATGCCCCAACACAACCCTACTAAGCATTTTATTTTGATAGTGTTTTTAATTTTTAATGCCTAAAAAATAGTATAGATAGTTTATATGTATGTAAACTTTGATGTGTTTGTTACCTTAAAGTGTGGCCAAAAGTCAGCTTGGTTTCTAATCTCAAGAGGTACTCCTGCACCATTTGGTTGGATTAAATACCTATCTTCCAGACTTAAAACTGCATCTAGTACCAAGTTAAAGTGATGACTCACAGTCTCTCCAGACCTACTGAAATGGAATTCCATCGTTCTATTCCTAACATTGTGTGCTAATATGTGTAAGAATCTAGCAACTTGTTCCTCCACAGTACTTCGTAACGTGTCATTCAATCGGCCAGTTTCTTGGAGAATTTTGCAAAGCCTATAGAATGCTTCCTTCCCCATTCTCAACTGATTATAACAATCAATTGGTCTTCCCCTATATAGTCGATCCAACAAATCTTGTCTAAGTCCCGATTGACAGATGGCTTCCTACCACGTAGCCCATCCATTCTTGTAGAATGGTCAATGTCAATGCAGTTGCAGTGGTTGCAGCACCAACCACTGCAATCAGAAGTTCTCTGTCCATCTACCAAAGCAAAATTTGTATGAAAAAAAGGATAAAAGTAGGATTCCTCAATTCAATTTAAATCAAGGGAGGGAGCAGAAAAGGATGATTTCTTTTTCTTAGCACAGGAATACACATGATAATGAAAATTCTAAGACAAATAATAAGCTCAACAAATACATTAACCAATATAAGGATAGGGGATAACAAAATGAACAAGCCAAACTAAATAAGAAAAAAAATTGTCCTATTTCAAAGTGAACCAACAAACTACCATTCTTCTTTGTTCATACAAAAGAGGAGATAAGTGATACATTATCAATTAAGTACTCAAAAATAGTGTATTTCAAAGTGAACCAACGAACTACCATCATTCTTTGTTCATACAAAAATAAGTTTTATGATTCTTAGGCATAGGGATCAATATAAACCTTATTTAGGTTTAGGTTTTAGGTTTGAAAATGGTCTAGGATTTTTTATAGGTTTCAGCCTGAACTTGGACTGGGTTTTAATATAAACCTGATTTGGGGTTTGTGGATGATTAAGGGCATTCAATAGAATGTGGAATCACTATCCAATGAATCTCCAAACAATGTCATGTTTTGAATCTGTTGTATGACCCTAGACCCTTCATTTTCTTTAATAGAGCTTCTGGACTTCACATACATCAGAACTTTTGTATGGATTGTTGTTTCTTCTTAATCAATGATACATTATTAGCCTTATACAAAGAATGTGAAACTTCATGTTAATTTCTCCCTCCTCCCAGTCCCTGCCCCAGCCCCTCTTTGGCTTGCTCTCTGTTACAGATATAGATAACATTATTGACAAATGTAGACTTTTTTATCAAAGAAAAATAAGATAATGTTATCCTTGATGAAATATAATGCTGTCATGATTCTTTTCTCTCTCTGTTTTCTTGCTGAATAATCAAGTTCTTGGTTTTGTCTACAAGGTTCAGAGCTGTGACGAAGAAGTGCATTTCTATGATTTTCACATAGTGTATAGTGGTTCCTATAGARTCCCAAAATGGAGCTCAAACTGAAAAGTCTGAAATCTTTGAAGATTTAGTATGGCTTATCAGAAAATTACTGAGAAAATGAAAATTGTGGAGAAGTCTTTAAGAACGTCTTGATCARCATTTAGTAGAAGTCTTCAAGTTACAGAGAAGGTTAAGCTGAGCAACATTCAGCATCTTTAAGAACATCTTGAATGCTGAAGCAGCATTCAGCATCCAAAGTAAGGTATTTGATCTGATTTTGGAGCAGTATAAAAAGTGAGAAGGTTAAGCTCTGATAATGCATCAGAGCTTAGCTTTTCAACTTCTCAATTTATGTGATCTGATTTTGGATGCTGAAGAAGCATTCAGCAAAGTAAAGTAGAAAGTTCCAATTAACATGGGACTAAAGTTGAATTTTTATACTGCATTTCTAAAGTAGAAATAGACTTTGTACATATATTGGGTCAGGCTATTTCAAGTTCATATGACAAAAAAGGAAAAGTTTAATTAAAAAATGGAAAAAGGCTCCAGTTACAAGTTTGTAAATAGCCAGTTTCAGAAAGAAACACCAATTATTGACATTCAGCAAAGCAAGGGGTCTTTTGCTCTTGAAGAGGTTAGTTGTTTGACAAGCCATCATTCTGAAGTCTATTCTGTTTATAACAGAACAATTGCTATAAATGGCTGGAKACATTCCAATATCAACATGGGATTTGTTCTTAACTGTTCTAAAAATTTTCCCTGTTTTGGCAAAGAATATAATAGGTTGCTAGGGTTTGGGTTACTGGGCATAATTTGGTAGTTGAAATAATGAGTTGGCAGTTTTTTTTTCTGGTTATCTGCTGAACTTATTTACCAGAATCAAGAATTCCTTATCAGTTACCAGTTAATTATCCACTAACAATTATGAGCTGARAACACTCTCCCCCCCACTCCCATATATGCAGTTCTCTAATCCAAGAAGCCCAGAAGGACTAATAACCAATTCCACATAAAGAAAAAGAGAACACAGACCAGACCACACACGTAAGAGTAGGAAGGATTAGTTAGTTTAAAAAGTGAGAAGGTTAAGTTGATATATGATAACGCATGAGCAGTAGAGAGGAGCAATTTTCAATTAACTGGTACAGTTCATAAATATAGAAGGGTGTCAATGAATTTAGTTCAGCAAATCTCATGAAAACAAAAGACAATCAACTGCAARGTTCAAGCCACACAGTTTAACAACGCCACCAACTTTTGGATAGCAATCATATTCAAAATTCAAGTGAACTAGAAGTCATAAGTTGGTAGAATAGGTGACCATATCACATAACTATAGACAGGTTATGGTGAAAAGAGGATTGAACTAGTCATAAGTTGGAAATGCCCTTAAGAACTACAATTAATACTACATAAATAACAGAATACCAATACCATCACTGTCTATGCGACTAAGAGGTAAAATCAGGCCTTGTTAAACTTCAGGTCTAATTTTCACCATAAATTCAAGAAAAAAAATTCTCAAATAGTGCCAAACATCCACAATGATAATAGGTAATAGGTACAAAGGCAATAGGTACTAGGTTTATTGAATTCAACTCCTAGGAGTCACCGTTGCTGCTCAACCCTCAAACCAAGGCAGAATACAATTTCAACTCCTAGAAGTCACCATTACAAATTTGATGGTAGCTGCAGATCTATTTCTAACTACAGGGGGGCAGCTGAATAGGAGGCCTTATTCTTATCTCTAATGGCAGTCTGTTATGGGCTTTCAGTGGGCCAATGGGGGTCTCAGATGCTTCTGAAGCAGAAGTTAGAGCTCTCTTGGTTGGTTTGAGGGCTGCTAAGTCTATTTCAGTCAGATCTGTAGCAGTGGAGGGTGATTCTAGAAATATGATTGGTTGGGCTGTCAATAGGATGTAATGATCAAACGATGAAGATGAGAACAACAATGATGATGACCCCTTGAATTTCAGAGGGTCATCATCAACTGGAAAATTTACATGTAGGGCCATCAACTTGAAAAAAAATAACATACATTAAATAAAGAGGAAAAAATAACATACATTAAATCACCTAAATATTAAGCTACTATATTATTTAACTTAAGCATATCCACTGGTGTGGAATGATCTCAGGTCATTCGAGAATCCAGGATGTTCTAAGTGGGTTAAGGAGACAAATTGTACTTTTGAGGGCTTGGGTGGGTTGCCTGAGATGACCTGAAAATATAACAGACAGGAAATTGTAAAAAAAAAAAAAAAAAAAAGCATAATACAGAGATTTTTGCTGCTATGCATCATCATTTGTAACAGAGTTTCCAATACCCAAATCAACATATACTATTCCACAATTAAAAAAACCAAGCATAATACAGGGTATGTAGTACCTAAGCCTGAAAATCCCTTGCGTGGGTTGCCTGAGATGACCTGAAACACAACAAAAAATGAATACAGATATGAGATTGAGTATTATTGAC